ATCAAACAGTATGCTGATCAAATGCAAAAATGCGAGCATATTATTGTTGTAATGAATAGAAAAAACAAGGCTCACTCCTGAGCCCCTCATTTGCATGGGCAAGGGCATGGACCATTAAAATTTACATGGAAATGGGGAATAAATTTAAGCCATCTGTCCATGCTGACACCCTCCAGTAGTGCAGACCTCAACCACAATGCCATATCCATGCATGTTAATGACAAAGTCCATCTCAGACAAAGTGTGGTGACACAGACCAATGTCACATGGTGACACTAGTCTCAGTCTGTGAGGTCAAATAAACTGTATGTAGAGGTCGAGAGGCAGCCCAGTTTACGCTTTTAATATCAAATGATACAACTCTGCACACATTTTCATCTTTTACACAGTGGCTGTATAATACATAAGAAAAGCAATCTGAAAACTGTCACTTGAAATACAGAAATAATTTGTCCATGAATAAGATGGGGTTTGGTAATGCATAAAAGGGGAAAATAATAGAATGAAATGGTGCAGCTTTACCTTGGAGGCCCAAGCTGAGTGTACTTTTTTTTTTTTTTTTTACCCATTAATGTCCTTTTGCCACTGTTGCCCGTGACAACTGAAACATGAGTGCTGATTGGATGGTGGAGAGGTGATGTGAGGAGAATGGAGGGGGGTTGTGACAGCTTCCTGTCTCTGTCAGGGCGGTGAATAGGTGACGGGTGACATTTCAACTTACCAGACACAACTAAAAAGGAAACAAAAACACAACAACAACCCAAAGGTGAATAAATAAATATTAAACAGCATGGCACAAAGAGGAGAGACAAGGAAAACAATGTGATGTCCACATGTACAAATAAGCATGCCATCATCAGTAAAACATGTCACATTTCATACTTCACTCAAACCCTAGGGACCACACGATAACATGCAAAGAATAATTCCTGTGAATGAGTCAGAAAGGCACTGAAATGCATCTGATTCAATGTGATTTTAATTTGGGAAGGTGTTCAAGGACAGGAAAAATGGCAGACTAAGTGAAATAAAAAGGCACAGCGATATGAAGCACACAGAGCAGATGTTTTATGCTCAGCAACATCAAGCTTTGTTTATCCTTTTTCCTCTTGTTCCAGGTGTTGTGTGAAGGTGAACATCCCTACACCCTTAATGAGGTTTAGAGCACCCCTAGGAATGGCTACACCACAGTCTCTTAAATGTAGCCTTGCAAATGTACCCCGGGACTATAAAAACACAAGGTGAATGTTAACTGTCACTCTCCGGTCATAAATCTCCCCCAGCCAATCACTCACCTTATCTAATCTGTCTGCTTCAACGGCTCCCTCGGAAACATAAACGCTGTCAGTCAGAGTAATGACCAACCTCTTCCTCCTCCCCCTGCCTATCGCTGGCCTTTAAAATGCAAATAGCACGCACATCAAACAAACCTAGAAGACGCTCAGCACTATCCCTGTGTGAGATGCTCCAGGAACACACAGTCATGTGAACATACACAACACCCCCTTCACCTTGCAACGCTTCCACACACTCATTCATGTGTGTCTAAGCCTTTAATTAGGTAACCCTACCTCTCCCATGCTGCTGTGATCACAATTGTGGACCTGGTGGGAGAGGAGATCTTTAAACCTGACCTGGCTACTTTGTTGTGAGCTTTCTTCTGGCTCACAGAGCAGAGGTTAGTCTATCGATAAGCTGATCAGAGCAGCCGAGGAAAACACACCGAGCACTGTGGCATCCAGCCCAATAGGAGGCAGACTATGTACCGAAGACCACAGCGGAGATATTTATAGGGGTTTGATCGAGGCTGCTGTTCAGTGGGCCTGTCATCAACACAAGACTGAGGCTGCATGCAGAGGATTTGGCCTGATTAATAGCAGCTCCCACTGGGAGATGTACATCATACTTTATTCTGTCCCTCGCTGAGATTTTGTATTCTGTACATGAGCCGAAGTGGAGATCTCACAACAACAGGCAAATATTTATTATCACAGGTTTTGGTATTTATTATAACTCGAACTGCACGCACAAAGCCGGCGGGAAAGTTCCTCTCATTCACTCTGTTTTGGCACCAGTTCCAAGTCTCCTTCCAGACCCTTTACATGGGTTATTAGCAGCGCTGCTCTGGGGACCACCATTGCATTCATGACCTTTCTGCACATAAATCATGGCTAAGGACAAACTTAACCAGCTGAGAAATAATAACACATCGACTTTTTTTAAAATTCTGTGCACTACAATGTGAAACAATGTTTAAATTCCTATGCCATTCACTAGCAAACTCTAATTAACAAACATACTGCATAAACATTGTCCCCATGCCCACTGTAGTGTGTTTTTTTTTTCTAATTCTTAAACCTTATAGATTTTGTATTCTCATAACTTAATGAATAGCTGAACAAACTATGTCAGGACTACATTCTCAAGTGGCTTAGATTAGCTATTTTACAATCAATGTATAAATCGAGCTGGTGACTTGGCCAATTCTGTGTTTCTTCCATCAATCAAATGAATATTTCACTTGGCATATTTATAAGACCAGAGGAGCTGTAGCAGACTGACAAACACATGTGTAAGACAATAATTCACTGATTAAGTTAGTAATGAGAGCAGAGCGCATTGAAAGAAAAATAGCCCCAGGCGCCACTTTCACAATGTCGTCATTGTTCGCCGACAATCCCACCACAGAAAGCGTGAAAATCTCCCCGTCCATACAGAACAGCATTCTTCTCAGAAACTGTCCCGCTCTATAATAGATTCGCTTTGAAGGCCAGTATCTTTAACACTGCGTGTCTCGCTATAGTTCTAATATTTTTTTTGCTCAATCAGCTGCAATGATAAAGACATTTCATAATGACATTGTAGGAAATGACTTCTACATTGAACCGTTTTTTTTTAAATCCAGTTTTAATTAAACTGGTTTTATCTTGCATTTACACATGACCACACAATTAGAAGAAAAACTTCAATTCAAAGAATATTTATATTCATTTCATTTCAGCCTTATATGCCCCTTTACTTTTCAGGCTTAGCAATATTGCCCTACTTTGAGTTTTGATTCAGGGCAACAGCAATGCCCACTGAAGCCACAGGCTAAACGACTGCCCCCCATAATACTGTTGTCTTCAGTACTATAGCGGCATCTTACTACCTATACATCGTTTACTCTACTTCGGCCTGCTCAGACCTACAATTACCCAGCTTTTCTTTCCATTTCTGTGCCCACATCTGTAATTAGAAGCATGTCATTTCCGGGCGTGGGACTGTGGCCTGCTAGTCTTTAATTAGCTGGACTACTCAGTGGCCACAACCTCGATGGCCTCCTCATGTCCTGGTCTGAATAAAAGTCATGAAATTCAAGGATAAATGGAAATGATTCTAGGAACTTGGGTTTAGGCATCAGCCATCGTTGGATTTAACCATAGCATTAGCTCAAGGAGTCATATAATTTAAGTTATATGCTATTCACCTGGTGTTACACTTGGAGAGAAAAAAATTGGTTTCTAACTCTGTGGAGGTGTTTTTTCTTTGTAGTTTAAGTGTTTTTTTTGTACCTTTCTAACTCTTATAATATGTGGGCAAACAGTAATGTATTAAAAGAGGGTCAGGGCTTTGCTTCTCTCCTTCTCCACACAGCAGGGAACTGGCCCGAGGTTAAGACATTTAATTTCCACTCAGGGCAGGAGAGGTTTTAGAATTTCAAACATGACCCTTGCTCAGGAGAACAGCTTATTGAACTGGTGCATCAATGCTGTTCCCTTTCATTAACTAAGCTTTCATCAGGGAGAGAGAAAGAATGAAAAAAGGCAATAAGAGAAGTAGATTTATTGACGGGTTTATTGGCAGGTGTGCCTAATCTTGCTCCTCAAACCAATCTAAAGATCGCTGTCTTGTGGAGAAAAGCAAGAAATAATTGCAAAGGGTAGCCATGTGAGGATGAAGTATCTTTTTTTTAACATGTGGGGGTTGGCAGAGGAATAGAATTGCCTTGTCTCCTTAAATCTCGGCTGTGCAGACTGCTGGTAGTGACATTAATATGACTGACCTCACTGGAGAATTCTTTCTCCCCCTCTATCCTCTTCACCACAATTGCCCCCAGCCCCAAATCCCAACCTGTTCTGCATCATTGGTGAGGCACCTCCATGACCAACATACTCACTGCCCTTCCATCCAACACCACTAAGCTCCCCCCCCTCCTTCCCACCCGTCTTGTCTCACCCGACTCTCAGCATTCCCCCTTAGTTTGCTGTTAAATGGTCTCTGTGTTCCTCTGATTCTCAGGAGGGTTTGGGGGGGTGATCCCAGCCCCCAATTCCTCTGAATGGTTTCTTTCTGAATGTTCATACTCTGTGACCAGCTGCTTTATATTCCAACTGTGTTAATAAGACATCCAGTTGAGACGGCTACTGGAGGCACTGAGATATTCCATATTTTCACAAATACTATTGTACATCTTAAAATGTGAAGGAAGACGGGCCTCCGGAGTAATGCCACTTGTATAGGGCAAATGAAATCGATTACAGCCGAGCTCCCATGTGCTCTCTACAGCTGTTATGGATTTTTGCGTTTTGTTTTATTAGAAATCAATCAGCTAATTGAGAGAGAATAGCTGAAAGTGATGACCATGTGGCGCTAAAGCTGAAGACCATTATTGCACCGTAGCTGGGCTAAA